TTGAGCACACTCGTTGTGGCAAGCACACTCGTTGTGGCTAGCACACTCGTTGTGGCTAGATGGATAAACCTTCGGGTTTTGAAAGATAGTCTACATCGAGCGCGGTTTGGACTTAGATGGGTGACCACTCTGAGTTCAGGCTGCGAGTGCACGGCCCGCAAGGCCTGTGTGCGAAGTGCTTGGCTGAGGCAGCAATACCACCACGGAGACGGGCACGGGAGATGGAGGATCACAATACCACCCTGGCTACTCAGTAACGGCTTGGACTGAAAGGCCTGTGATGTCCGCAGTACCAATCGTGCCAAATGGAAGGAGACAGGGAGATCAGTCGAAGCAGAGGATTGGCGCCTTCCCTAGAGATGTGCTTGCTGTCTACCTGTTTAGAATTCTCTTAGTCTGGTTCTGTTGAACGTCTTGCTCTGCCCGAGCCGGTTAGCGCCATTGCGCGTTAAAATAAAGCTGGCGCTCGCGTTTGCGAGCTGCTGCATACGATCTGTCTGTTGCAGTGTTATAGCCTCCATTGTAACTCTGCGTGAATGAATTACCGTACTTTGCACAAAATGTTCTGTCTGTCACCTGATTAATGCATTGCTGAACATGTAAACCGAGCCGTTTTCGAAACAACTAGCCGCATAAAGCAATCGCAAAGTACCGGCTGTGTTTTTAGCCACTACGTACAAAGAGTCGCCCTCGCCCGCTCAAAACCCCGGCGCCGGCTTTTCCAGTCAGACTCTTCCACGACGACTATTGCTTCGCAGTAGTATTATCTTCACTTAATTACACTTATAGTTCTCTTTCCAACTGCAGAAAGCAGAGTCAAGCACATTTCAATTAAAAGGAAATCCCCGAGCACGTCGTCAAAATCCTACACGATGGCTGCGTGAAGGTAAAACATACATATATAACAACATAAAACTGGTATAATCATAATTTTTTTCTATCTGAATTTCGGGCTTCTTAATCCAGTCGATGATAAATGTTGTTGTTGCCGGCGACAATAATTTTTCTGGTTGGAATTACGGGGGAATCGGGATGGATCCGGTCGTCGAAATTGCTGGGAAGCGAAAAGCCGATGACGCCGGCAACGCCGCCAAGAACGCCTGCATCAAGCCGGACCCAGGACGGGACGACAGCGTCAGCGGCGGAGGCGGGGAGCAATGCCTGCCACCCCCGCCGTTGGTGGCAGTGACGACGGGGGAGTTTGTCCTGTACAGCCCTTGGTCGAAGGTGGAGGCGTTGATGCTGCCATGCAGCCGACAGCACTACGAGTGCCGCGTTACCCTGCCAGCGCACATCGATTCCTGGGCGGCGCATCTCGTCCTGCAGGCCACCCTTAATCCACGTCTGCCGCTGGGCGCTAGCCTTCAGGGCCAGGGTATCGACTGCACGGCCAGCCATCTGCAGGCAGCTGCGGCGTTCTTCAAGATCCCCATGCCCCCCTCACTACAGGGACAGGATGCCATTAACAGTAAATTACCGCACTTTACCGAATAGCTATCCCGTGCTAAATAGTTTTTTTTCTCGTAAGGGTGTTGAATGAGGTCTTTAGTCTTTACTTCGGAAAATGGTTCTATTAGTTACCTATTTTGGATGCATAAGCTTATGGGGCAGGCTCTGCGCAGTGGTCTTATTGTTTGACCTTTAATAATTTATTCTAATACCCGGGAAAGTTTTAAACTGCACTATATGAGCGTTAGCCAAATGACCCGGTACATGTTAGTTGCGCATACATCGAACCACGGTTCTTGCATTGAACTCCCGTTTTAAAAAGAATTTGAAAATTTAAAAAATTCAATTTAAATTTGCAAAATGGTGCCACTCTGGCCCGGTATAAAAGTTATCTTCATATTTACAGATACATTTAGGTAAAAAAACATTTCTGTATATTTCTGCGCATGCGTTTCTGTACATACCGTAATTATCGAATTTGAAGCCCCCCCGTAATTAGAGCCCACCCCTAAGGTCGTTTGAAAGTTATAAGCCCCCCCCCCCCCGAAATAGAGGCCCATGGGCTTAATTAAATACCGTAAAGCCCATATTAAAAAATGCCAAAAAGCTGGTTTGAAAAATTGAAGCCCCCCCTAAATACAAGCCCATGCCCGTAATTGGAGCCCACCCCGTGGGTCATTTGTAATATTTGTAACCCTGTGGATTCTAATTCGATAAATACGGTATGTTGCACATGCTTATATGTGTACAGGCATGCATGATTAACAAAACAAAAGATTGGTTTTGTACCGGGTCTCTTCCCGTACATGTAATAGTAATGGTCAAATAGCTACGCAGTGGGATATTTTTCAATCAGTGTGATAATTATGTTATCAGTTCCTTTCAAAAATGTCGTTATTCTGCGGTTTAAAATGAAACTTCAAGTGTGAAGAGTGAAAGGTACATTGCTAGTAGAAATAATTATTACGTTTATAGAAGCACCGAAGCAAACCGCCTCCAAGGCGTGCCAGGCCGTCAAGGCAATCAAGACCATACAAACACCGGCGCCATCGCATGGTAAGAAATTACTGACGCATCTTAAAATTTCTTTGCGTGATTCTTATCACCAGGTGTTTAGTCTCCAGTCGTTTTTCGTGGGATACATAGGAGTCTTCTCCATAAAATTATCTTACGAAATATTACGTAGCAGCATGTTTTGCAGGAGTGGCACAGCCGACATCCAGCACGGCTAGCAAAACGCCCGGAAACGCCGGTCAGAGTAAACCACCAGTGCCTGCCGATCCCGCTGTGGCTTACGCACATCTGTCCTTGGACGAAGTGCTGGCTTGCATCCGGCAAGATTTCCTGCCGGTCTCTTCGGAAATGGAAGTGTACCAGGTTAGCACGCGAGCCAAAGAAAGCCTAAGAATCTAAATGCTTAAGAAAGCATATAGGAATCTAAGAAGCGTGTTTGCCGGGCAAACTTATAGTACCACTGACTGTTAGCACTGTCTACGCCCAGCATCTCTCTATGCCTATTGCGCTGCAGAGAGTGATGAACTGGTGCCACGTGGATTATCCGGCACGCTGGACGGCGGAGAACTTTGAGGCCGTCCTGCCGGAGATCCGCTGGGATCTACTCCCCAACATACTCCCTCTGGCCATCCTCATAGCTGCCGGTCCGCTGCGCGACGGCCTCCTGGAACTGCAGACGCGGCTCTTCCCGCCTGGCGTCCGTCTGAGCGCCACGCCGCGGGAACGCCACTTTACCGAGGTGGCCTTCCTGTTCTACGCCGACCGGCATCAGACCAGTCTGCACCTGTACGACGCGCTTGAGAACAAGATTCACGCCGTCCCGCTTCCGGCGGAATTGCAGACGTGGAACACCGTCAAGGAGATGGGCCCCGTGGTCAACAACCGCGTGTGGTTCCGCGTCGAACACGGCGCGCAGCTCCGAACGTATGCGTTACTGATTGATGATGACTCAGTGCAGGCGGAGATGGTTTATATTTGCGAGGAGCAGTTTGTGGGCGCTGCCTCTCCCGTGATCACTCTTAATGGGTTGGTGTTCGGTTGGAACACAAGCACTACGAAAAAACTGGCTTCCTATACCTTCGACCCGGCTTCAATGCGATTCAGCGATTGCATCCGAAGCCCGAAAAATATCAGGTGGGTACGGTGGGTTGAAACTTTGTAATACACGAATCAACTGACTACAGAATATGTATGGGCAAATTATCTGCAGACTGTTTTAACTTTTACAGGATACCAATATACAAAACTGTGCATTTGTCGCCGTGAAAAAAATGTGATGAGTAAAACTAAAAATATTTTTAGTCAACGTTCTACAGATGCTGTGTTTAGTGTTTTGTCAGTGTACACAAATTTGGTGCCATGTACCGGCGCATTTCCTTAAGAAACGCAATCGGGAAAGTTTTTTTAGCGAATGCATTATACCGAGCAGGTTTAACAAGAAAAAAAATATTTTCTGCAGACGGGAAGCGGCCTTCGATGTGTGGCACCACTACTTCATCATCTGCGGCGGATATTCGGCTCAGGGTCGCAACCGCGGCATCCTGGCCTCCGGCGACATATACAGCGCGGCAACGAACCAGTGGAGCGAGATGCCGGCGATGCTGCATCCGCGCTGCAGTTTCGCGGCTAAAGTACTCAACGGTTACCTGTACGTGACGGGCGGTGTGGGCCCGGGATCCACCGTTCTCAGCAGCTGCGAGCGACTGCAGCTGGGCGTGGCCGGCGCCCAGTGGCAGCGCATACCCGACCTGACCGTGCCGTGCTACGGACACTGCATGTTCTCTTTAAACGACAAGCTGTACGTGTGCGGTGGGTGCAGCAACGGCGGGGCGCCGCTGGCGTCCATGGAGGTCTACGATGCCGCGTCGAATCGCTGGAGTGGTGTGCGGCCCGTAAAGAGTCCTGGGACTCGCGTCGCGCTGGTGTCAGCTTGTGTGACGCTCTCGGTCAACTACAAATTCCTGCAATATTAAGCTGCCCTTTTTGTTTATTTTGTGATACATTGTATTTTAATCTTGTGTTCTTTGCTTTCGTTCGATAAGGTCAATTATTATTAGTTTGTTTGGCTTTTTATAATTTTTTACAGAACCAGTATCTGTGTCTTGTCGAGCCGCCCGACCCATAGAAAAGGTCGCTGTCGACTTTGGTTAAAAAATACGTCCGCTTCTTTGGCAATACATACTCAGAAAAACCAGCTTTTGCTGACATGAGGTGATGTGAGTCTTAATGCGTATTGTATAGGAAATAAACTGTAAAAGCGACATTTATTTACGCTGCTGTCGAGTCCTCGGTCTCGTGACTACATGTGAAAATTCAGCCACAGATTTACCCAACTTGGTACTACCGGCATTTTGCAGCTGAATGCTGTTGTCGACGGGTTTAAACTGATGCATGCGGATGACAGGATCAGATAGATGGGTAACCGGCTTGATAAAGGAGCAATGGGCAATGCCAAAATGTGCCACAGCAAAAAGCGATAAAATCATAGCTGACAACTGCCATGTAGTGCAACTAATACCTAAACAGACCAGGCCGTTTAAACTGTGTAATGCAGTTAACACATGCACCTTTCGCTGTAAATTCAGGCTAAAAATTCGTATCAGTTTTTCGGAAAAAGAAATATTATGGTTGTCGCAAATTTTTACGCAAAACTTGTTATGCAGTTGGGCGTGAGGGTAAGTCATCCACGGTTGGAATTGAAAACGGGCTGATAAACCGCTCTAATCGTATCGTACTCTGCGTAATGTATTTGTAGTACTCGTAGCGAAAGAAGCGAAACTATTTTTTTTGTAACATTGCCAGCTTGGTATAATTAATTTTGTTCCTTGTCCGAAGGCTGGTGGAAAACGTGGTTACGTATAGCATGTTTCGCATAAATCTAGAATTTTTTTGAATGGTAGATGCTACACTGTTGTATTAAGAATACAGATGTTTCGTTTTAACGAACAAGCGAGAACGCTTTTGGTTTAATATCTTTCTTTAGCTGCTTCTACTGTGGACACCAGTACAAGCATCAGTTCAGTGTCGCTGCTTTCCCGGGGATGCATGTTGGCCTAGCGCTGACGAGTGGAGTGCGCTAAACGTCACTTTGGGCGGGAAACTTATTGTGACTGTGCCAACAGGTACGTATCCACCGAAATTTACTGCCTGTAAAAATTTCAAAAACTAGTTGTTCTACAGCGCATCCATGCTACGTCGGACACGCCTCCGAATGTCTCAGCATCAAAGCCAGTTATAAAAAAGAGGACTACTTAAGTAGTAAACCGGGCAGTATGCACTACTTCAACTGGGAAGAACTGAACGATCAGCAATGCCCACTGGAACACGAAGCACTATCTAACGCCACGTGTCAACAGGGGCGTGTCCCGGCCTTCGCCGTGGACGCCCACACTGTCGACCACATCCGCGCCGCCCTCCATTTTGCCACGCAACACAACCTGCGTGTGGTCGTTAAGAGTACCGGCCATGATTATCTGGGACGGAGTACGGCTGCCGGCGCGCTGATGATCTGGATGAGAAACTTCCAGGGAGACATCCAGACGAAAGCGTCCTTTATGCCGTACGGCTGTAACGATACGGTTTCTCGCAGTCCTGGTGCGGTTATTACGGTTCCCGCTGGCAAAGTGTGGAAAGATGTCTATGAAACGGTCAGCCGTAACTCTAAGCCTATAATATCATGTACAGATCAGGACGAATTCCCTGTCTGGCACATATCATCACGCATAGTGTTGGGTCGGCCCGGCCCGGCGCGGCCCGGCCCGTGTAAGAGGGCCGGGCCGTCGTTTGCACGGCCCGGGCCGCGGGCCGATCCGGGCTGCGGCCCGACATGTCCCCGGGCCGTCTTGCAGCACAGTAATATTTCATTCCCGGATGTCATTATGCAAGCGGCTACAGCGGGTATGTCAACGGAAAAATAGACGGATTTTCGCCTAGAAACGATGCTGTGAAAATTAAGAAAAACTCATCGAAAACTACTAAATTTAAGTAAATCCCAATGAAATTTTCTGTTTTTCTACGTCTTCTTCCATATTTAACGTTTACAGCGGGCCACGGCCCGGGCCGAGGGCCGAGGGCCGCGGCCCGGCGCGGCCCTCCCAAAAGGGCCGGGCCGGCCCAACACTAATCACGCAGTTGATTTTATGGTCTGACGGTCTGCCCAAAATGAATAATTTCAAATATCTTATTTTCTCAAACTGTTCATAATTCAATTATTTTTTAAAATATTTTTTAATTACTGTAACTTGATTCTTTAATTAATCAGTTAATCCTGTTTGTTTACTTATCAATTTATTTATGGTGATAACTCCGTGCATACCTTTCACTACCTTTCGCTCTCTTCGCTTTCTCTCACTCCACCCACAGCCTTTTCCGGCACTGTCTGTAAATCCGTTAACTGCGTGTGCGCAAGGGAATTACTTTGTGTCTGTTTGTTTTTAGCATACAGTATTTCGCTAAATATTTTGTAAATGGTGTAGATCCTTCACATCACCAATCTAGCCGTAGGGTTACGATTTTAGTGGTATTGGTAGGGAGCACGACAAAAATTAACATGGGAACATGTCTCCCCGGAAGTCCACATAATTTTCGGTCTTCCTAATGTAGTTTCGAAATCCCCAGATTTAGCAAAGGATTATTTTTTTAACCGTTATGTTCCCAGATTGAACGGGAATTCAACCATACCCAATGGATGGTGGGCGGGCACTGTCCATCCATCAGCGCCGTGGGCGGGTTCACTCTCGGCGGCGGGCACAGCATCCTGAGTCCGGCGTGGGGTTTGGCCGTGGAGAACATGCTGGAAGCAACGGTGGTGACCGCGGATGGTCAGCATCTGACCGCCAACGCCTGCCACAACCCGGACTTGTTTTTCGCGTTACGCGGAGGTGGTGGTGGCACGTTCGGCGTCGTCACATCGGTTACCTACGAGCTGCATCCGGTGCCGCACGGATTCTGGTCGTACTCGTTCGTTGTGGTCAATGCCAATCCAACCGGGACCTTAACAGCCAGTCAACTGGAAATAATAGTGGAGGAACTGGCGGCATACACATTCACGATGATGTCATTAGGATGGGGCGGTTATTTGATGTATAATCCGAAATTCGGCGCGAGCTTTTTGTTTCTTATACCGGCATTGAAAGCTGAACACACGGCTGGCGGAGTGGTACAGTGGTTGATTGACAGTTTGGAGGAAAAACAGGCAGCAGCGGAATTCGTCGTGGAACCATTCGGTAACGCTTCGTTCTTCCAGCGTTTCCCCAGCTTTAAAGTACGTTGAGATTTATCCAGAAGAATTTATCAAAGTTTCAAATTGTACTTGGTTTTACTGGTAGGCATGGAAAGCCTGGACGGATACGCTCGGGATCCTGGATGATTTCGATGCATCCGGGTTCCGCATGAGTCTCGGTTCGCGCCTGATCCCCGACTACATTTATGAGCCACAATATGTGGCAAAGAAAGTCGTGCTGGGTGCTTTGAAAAACGGTCTGGAAAACGGTTTCACCCTGGCCATAGCCAGAGGATATGCGTCGGGAGAGAGAGATGACCTTATAATGGAGACCGCAGTGACGCCAGCGTGGCGGAGGGCGGATTTCTTGGCTGGTCTCTCCATTCGTTGGAACGCGACAGCCACTCCCGCCGAAATCGCAGCCAAACAGGCGGCGCTCAACAGCGGACTGCAGGTGTGGCGCGACGCGTTCCCCCATGCGGGAGTGTACCTGAATGAAATCGGGTTGGATGAGCCAAACTGGCAGGAAGCCGCGTGGGGTGAGCATTACCCGAAATTGCTTAAAATCAAGCAACGAGTGGACCCAAACGGAGTCTTTCTCTGTCGAATGTGCGTCTGCAGTGAAGGATGGGATTTGTCGGGACTGCGGACCTGCCGGGTGCGCCCAAATTCCTAAATAACGTTGGCTATAGGCTTTTTTTGGTTTTGAGTTGGGTCGACTGAGTTCATCTATGCCTCCCTTGTGTTTTTTGAATTAAACTTGATCTTAGTTTAATCTCTGGGAAAATCTTTACTGTCCGAAAGTTTGATTGTTTGCACCGCAGTTCACTACTCGTATCACAAAAAAACTGGTGAGGAGAGAAGCGGCTCATGTACAGCGACAAAGACTTGCAAAGGATTTCAACACTTGCGCCGTGGTGCAGTGGTACTGGCTGCGCGGATCTAACGACGTAGCCGGGGTTCGATTCTCCCATCGGTGCATTTTTCGGCCGTTTCTCGCTTTCCAGTGGACAGCGCTCTGCTTAATGACTGATCGAAAACCTATTGCACAATGCACACAGGGAAGTAGCGGAACATTGCAACAATCTTATGCTGTAGACGAGAAAGCAAAAGGATTGAGACGATCATTTAAGCGTCCAAACAGATCCAACTAAGCCTCCAACGGTTTTCAAACAGGTCAAAGGGACACGAAGCTTGCAACTGCCTACCATATAAACCAAGGCAAACCATAAGAATTGCGAATTTATTTTTCAACACACACAGCAAAGAGCCCCATTCAGTGCTTGCAATCAAATAAAAAATGTGTCCCAATGAACATGAGAAGGGACTGTGCACAATACACTCACAGCATTACCACGCATAATTTCCAAACGTAAACGTTGAAACAAAAAGCAAGTGGAACGACTCTTCGCCTGTTTTGATAAACAGTTTTCTACCGATCTCCTTTGACCAAACCACTGCGGCATCACCGTACGTATCCGTAGCCCATAATTTGAACCGAGCGCGAAGCGCGAGGTTCTGCAATTAAGCCTTTGTCAAGACTACATGCTCCATAGCAGAGTATATATTTCCACAAGTTCCACAGCAGAGTATGCCTGACTCCAAAAAGCTCGTACGTAACCCTCTTTCCTATGGGATTAGTGGAATTCCACACATCGATTCCATTTCCAGTGGTACATACCATTTTCAAGTGATAACGGAAATGCATAATTATTAGGATTGTATCGTACCACACTCCCGGTATACGGTTCGGTAAACGATACAGGACACGTATCGGAACCGCATCGTTATACATTGTAGCGTCGCACTCATCAGGAAACGGTGTACGATACAGTCGAGTCATGCTTTCGTGAAGAACGTAAAAAGTTTCCAATCAGCCTTGGCACTTTTTTGTATGAGATAAACTGCGTCCAGCTGTAAGTCATATCAAAAACTAAAAATCTGGGATTATTTTTCGATATCAGAACATCTAAATTTGAGCGCCAGTGAACTTCTAGGAGCATTTTAATTACCATAAGAAGTCTACGGAGTCTGAGTGAACAGCTCGCGCAGAGTACTCCAACTGCTCCGTAAGCTTAGCATAAACGCAAATGGCTGCAGAATCGTAATTTTTGGACAAACCGCTCACTTGGTATCAAAAAAAACTAAAAATAATTTTATTCTTCTTTGATTTACTTTTGCTGGTTAATCAAGAATATTTAAAACTTGCTCTCTACCAATCAAAAATTTCGTGATTTGGCAACAACTGCAGCCTCCTTTGTTATGGAGGCCACCGCCACCGCGAGTGGTTGCATATCGCTGAGTTAATAACGGTATGCTTTGACGACATCTGAGCCTTTACCGTCAATCCTATCGTCAAATTATCCGTAAGGGTACGCCAGAGGACGTGCGCGAGTCACCGTATATCGTACCGTCTATTGTAAGCCTTTTGTGTGTGCGACTACAATCTATTATATTATTATTATTAGTTCTGCTTCGCGTGTAATGCACCGGTTATCAACCACCACTAGTGTTACGCAGCAGCTGTTATTTTAGTATGAGACAGAGCAAACGCTTGAATAACTGACAAACCGTGTCCCGGCATATACAACGCTCATGACTCATGGCGGCTCGCGTTAGGGAGCCGTTGCGTCTGTACGCTGTACAATACGCCAACTGTACGCCCACCAACGCCATGTTCAAGCGCGCATGAGAAATTTGAGATGACACGAGGTAAATGGACAAGTTTTCTCATTGATCGAATTTTTCACGTGTACAGCCGGTTGTGCATGTCTGTTGCATGGATCAGCAGACTTTATTTCCACACTTTTTTCTAAAGCTGTGCCACCTGTATGCTGCTTTTCAGCCTTGTATTCTGTATTATTACAGTGTCAACGTCATCAATTATAGTCACTAGTCAGGTACACAACCACTTTTATCATAAAAGTACTTGTGTACGAGTAGAAAAACATCAGCTACTCATAAAGCTTCATGAGTAAATGAAGATTTTCTTCATCCACTTGGGAATCGCATAAAGTCATAAAGGTATCTTCTTCTTTTGATTTTGCTGTGTCACTTAGTTTGGCACGCCATTTTTCGAACGCAGCCGAACCAGTTACACCGGTCCTGATTGCTGATTTTCGTTCAACATGATGTTCTCCAAGAAAATTTACCATTGGAATGCTGTAAATGTCATGCAGAACGGGCTCTTCCAGCGCGGTCTTATAGTCGATAAACTGGAATTTGGATGGGTTGTTGATTTTGGTGTTGCTGGCCAACAGCCGGAGGTTATCCCATACAGTCAGCAAATATTTTTGGATAACAACATCAGCGCAGCTGCATGCGGCAGCCAGGATCCATCGGACCGTCGAAGAATACTTCTTAAATTGTCAGCAAAACTGGCATGGACTTGGTACGAATGTACCGTATCGCCGAATTCAGCCCATCGAAATGACTATGCTCTAGTGGAAGTGTTCCATAAAAACGAGCGAATTGTCACTGTCGCTCGAGCCAATCGTCTCCACAGTCTTTCACACACAGGGATTTTATTAGGAAAGGACGATATTGTTAAAGATGGATTTCCTGTACACCCGTCGTTCGCTCCTCATAGTTCGGAGGTGATTAATAAATGGAGAGCATATTTCCGTCGCACCCATCCTGTCGGAATAATATATAATCATATCACATTTCTTATGCCGCGTGATATGGCTCTGGACTGTGACAAAATAGTAAGTCAAAATTGCAGAGTTCGTAATGAATAGGACTGAGCACATGTACAGTAAAAAAAATCAACTGGCACGGAAAATGTGACAACGGTAATATTATTAAAAATTACAAGCAATGATCTGAGACGAACTCAGACGGTAAATATCGATTTACCTTGCATCGTTGCCATAATTGGGCAATATTATTTTGGAATGGTGTTGGAACTACCAACGACAAACTTTTAGTGACATCAGTCTTAGTAATTTAATACATTTTTATTACTCGTATGCAATTCGTTTTCTCTTATAGATAACGATGTTGAAGAGAGTGAAACCACAAGCGCTCATACATAAAAAGGAGGAATACGACATGCCGGACATAGATTGGTCGCTTTTTGACAGCGATGAGTTTCATTCATTGTACGATCGTCAGAGCCGAACAGGAGAGTTATGGGAATTATGGCAGCAGAAGCTGTCATATTTAACCAAAAAAACTGAGCTTGATAAAAAACGTTATCCTTCCATTAACGAAATTTCGCTCAATGTTCTTACGGATATAATGACGCTTCTCGATGGAAGACACCAAGCAACTGCACGTTCCGTGTGCTCTGCCTGGAACACCGCTGCGGTATCGGCTGACTGTGCTAAAAGTGTTACAGTTAATTATTCCCGCTGTATTCGCCCCCGAAATCCATATATGTTTATGTCGCTGCTGTGCCACTGCATCACTCCTGCAACGCAATATGTCCTTTTTACCGGTCACGACATCCTTTCTTCGCTTCCATTACTCTCTGATCTACGAACCTTCAAACCGATGCCGCGGACATTTGTGTTCTCCAACACTACACTTAGATGCAGTTTGCCATTTGAAGGCACCGTTGTGGATGCCCACGAAAAGACACTGGATAAGCTTCGCACGTCACTTGCACAAAATTATGGAGCCGTCTTTTAGCCGGTTGATTTTGTACAATGTCACACTGCGGGATTTCTTCGTACCTTCCAGCGTAGGTTTTGTGAATCGCAAAGCGATAGATCCAGCCTTTTTGGATTTGACCATTAGACGCGCCGCTGTGAACGTACACGAAGAAATCGCGTTTAGCGACGTGTTTAAGACAGCCGCGCCTGCACTTCCCGATTTCAACGTTTCGCCTTATCAAACTATTTTCCGGCGCCTGTCGGACTGGATTACCGATGCAAATGGCAATTCTGTTCGAGAAAAGGAGATCATGACCGTAAGTATACGCTTGAAAGGTTTTGTAAAAATATGCTCACGTTGGGTGTATGAAACATTAATTCAAATAATTATCGTATTTATTTTCATTATCGGAGGTTTCAAAGAAATGGGAAACAGGCGATATTTACTTCGAACGACATACGGAAGGGACTGAACTGGTGGTAAACTTTAACGAAAACGCGACAAAGTTGCACCGAATCACCTTTTGGGCACTGCTAGCATTGTCGAGGACGTTGACGCCAGAACGAGAGCGTTCGCTTCGCCGCTGTGTTGAGTACTAGTGAAAGGAGAGCATCGATGAAAACAGTGACTTGAATCCAGTCGACAAACGTGCGTACCAATTGAAGCCCATAGCGAGACTTTGACTGTGGAGATGCGTTTACTGCTGATAACATTTGCAAGAGAGAGATTACCCGCGTATTGACAACAAAAATGGAACGGACTTAACAACTGCAATAAGTCCCCAAATGATTGTCAGATAGACACAGAAGCAGATGGAAAATGGGGCAAATATAGCCTTTATTGTGATAACAATAAAGCAACAACAACACAAAACCAACAGAAAACCCAATGCGGGAAAAGCTGGAAAAAGTGCCTGCAGTGCGCTGGTGAGGAATCGTGATTAATGATTCCGCGTGCTGCGGGTATGCAACAACTGATGCTGCAAAGCATGGAATCGCCCGTAGGCGCAGGGCTCCACCCCCAAGAGTGCAGAGAAATGCGCTGATTGGTCAGCGTAGACAAAGTATACGCTGAGTAAGCAGCGTAATAGCGCGGCACGAATGGAGTAACCATGTGCGGGCGGGCGACAGAGCAAAAGCCACAAGAGGTGTCTACCGCCTCGAGTGAGCGGTCTCTGACATGCCTCTGGGCGGGAGTGGGAGCTCCTGCGAGCACCTTCCGACTCTGCCCTGGCCGACCCGGTAGGGTGCCAGGATCCGATACCCGGTAGGGCCGGATGCCACTTTGTCTCTAAACCCGGTAGGGTCGCTTCCTCCAGACCCGCGGTGCAGTGCACCGAACGGCCGAAATCTGGAGTGCACTCTGGTTGCTGGGGGTTCCAGTGGGGTTTGAAGGCTTGGTTGGTCGAACAAGTAAAAAAATAAAGTTTATAAGGCTCATAGGTTAAACATCGAAATAAAAAGATCACAATTCCGGTGAGAATTAAAGAAAGTAAGATCATAGTTAGAGATCCCAAAGCCAATTCCTTTGGTTAAATGGCTAAATAAAAACATCATCTTTGGTTAATAAAGTCTAGAAAAACCAGGTTTGGTTAAAAAACTAGACGAAACAAAAGGCTTATTCCGACTAGGTGTACCACAGGGCCGCTTTTGTCCACAGGGGTCCTAGTCAACGGTCCGCTTTATCCGGTAGGATATGTCTGGTCCTGTGAATCCGGGGCGACGGTTCCCAGAGATGTCCACAGGGGTCCAGTGAAGTAATTCCAGCGGAGTTGTATGAGGAAGGCACGGTTGCATGCGCAAGGACAAGTTGTCCCCTTCCTGATTGTGGTGGACCAAGCCCGGTTGGGCGGTCCATGGTGGGCCAGAGTGATGTCTCTGGACAGGAGAGGTGCTCCTGTAGTGAAATGGACCAAACCCGTTAGGGTGGTCATAAAGGCTTTTAAATGATGCCTCTGAGCGGGAGGGTGCTCCTGCTATCCAAAATGGTATGCTTGGACCAATTCCGTTTGGATGGCCCATATGGGTCTCTAACTTGGACCGGTTTTGGCCTTGCATGCCGGTTTGGTCATGCACCTAGGTCCAAAAATCTTCTAAGTCCAGGAGGGCCATAATGGAAAAATTTCTAAGTCCGAGGACCAAGTGGTGTAATGGACCAAACCCGTTGGGGCGGTCCAAACTCGGTCTCTGACATGCTCTGGACCGGGATACAGGGTTCCGGAATGGTATGGCCTTGCTTCAGGCCTTTGCTGTGGTGTGGGTCCTGTATAACCGGGTTTTGGCTCTCCGATGTGGACTTAGTCGTTTGTTGATGAGCCACGTCATTGGACGGGCCAAAAAACTTAGTCGATTTTCCAGTGGCCACGTCGTTGGACGGGCCAAAAGACTTAGTCGATTTTTCGACGGTCCAAGGTGTATGGCGGGCCAAAAGGACTTAATCGTTTTTTCGACGGTCCAAAGTGTATGGCGGGCCAAAAGGACTTAGTCGTTTTTTCGACGGTCCAAAGTTGATGGCGGGCCAAAGTTGGTCTGTCTCACTGGCCGTGGGCCATGAGTTGGCTACCATGTCCGATGAGTCAGGTAGGTTTCCCTGAGACCGTGGCCATAACAAAATTAAGTGGCGTCTGACGAAAACATCAGGTTGGCCGGGCCAAACTCCAAAAAATTAAGTTGTGGGCGCCGGTAAGCGTTTACCACAAAGGAGTCGGCCTGCTGACTAGAAGCATCCTCGTTTGGCCTCGGGGCGGTGCATCTTTTAGATGGGCCTCTGGGCGGTTTGTGGTGAGGATGTTGGACATGGCATGCAAAATGGGTATACCACAACTACTATGTGGCTCCCGAACTCACTTGTCCCAGTCGCCTGGTATGGCAACTAAACTCGTGAGCCAACTATGGTCGGTTAGACTCATAGTGGGCCTGGTCCAACTTCTATGGACCAGGACTTGGCCTTAGCTTGTCGCAACTTGTATGCGGGCCAGGCTGATCCACGGCTTGTCGCAACTTCTATGCGGGCCGTCGCCGCCTTCTGGGCGCTGGATCCTTTCCATGCCGGTGAACTTAGGCGTTGTGCCAAGTTCGGTCCGGTGGACTCCGTCGGATGGTCTGGGATGGCCGAGCCAAATTCATGGTCCCAGCCGCTAAGCCAGAGCCTATCCGGGGAATCCGGTTAAGATCCAGGGATTTAGGTCCGGTGAGGTAGACGGTACATGGCCGTAAGCCACGTTTGTTGGGCGAGGGTAACAACCGTTAGATTGCACCCATCATGGTGTTCAAGTCCGGTCCAGCTGATGTTGGTCCCTGTTTAGGGCCAACATGCAGGAATGGCCATTGGCCTATCCCTGCCCTCCTTGTCCGGCTTGGTCGCCATCGCCCAACCCAGGATTGAGTGGGTCGATGACGCTTTCTTCCATGGCCGCCAATTCCTGTTCTGTCAGGTTTTGTTGATTTTGGCTGGAGGTGCTGGCCGGCTGGACTTCTTGGTCTGGTTGGACGTCCTGGGTTTGGACGTGTGCAGACGATCCTGTTGAGGATCGCTGGGTTCGAAACTTCGTTGGAAGTTTCCTGGTTGCTGTTCGATTAACGAACACTTCCGCATTGTCGTCGAAGTCCGTTGGCTGTTTATAGCGGTAATCTTTAGCGCGACTCCTGTAAATGTTCAGGGCGCTTTGGATCTTGACTCCCGCTTCGATCTCGTGGATCTGGTTTCCCAGGAGGGCCACTTGGGTCAATAGCCGAGGGACGATTTTCCCTTGCCGGTAGGCAACTTCCAGTTCCCAATGGCAGTGTAGGTGGCCAAGTCTGGCGGCAAAGATGCGTATCAGCGTGCCATTATAGGAATAGGTTTGTGTCGCTGGGTCGTCCTTGTGATCGGCTGGCTTGCATGGGATTTCTATGGCCGCTCTGCAAGCTGCAATGATAAAACTGGCGTTCGCGTCCGGTAGGACAAACTGGGCCAGATATTTGACGACGTCAAGTTGGTCGTCCTTAATGTGCAGTTGGCACAAGTCATTCCAGTCCGGTCTGGTGATGGGCTGTCCAAGTAAGTTCACGTCCGTGATGCTCGATAGAGCATTGTCACGGACCATTGGGTAGCCTTCTCGGTTCTCAATGTGGTCCTTCATGTTAAAGTCACGGGGCCACTCTTTCCTCTGCATTTCCATTTCGAGGCCGGACCGGGTGACGAAGGTTTGCAGATTTTGGACCATGGCGTCAACTTGGGCCCATTTGTCCCTGGGGTATGGGATGGCACCCATGATATAATCCGTCACAACCCGGTGGGGAAGTGGCCGGATGTTAATGCCCTGGTCCTCAGCATGCTTATATGGATCGAAGCCCGTGGCACTGATGCTCACGTCTTGTCGGGCCGGTGGGTCCGACGACGGCGGTGCAGGCTCCGTTTCCATCGGTATCTGGATGCTGATATTGTGGGCCACCGAGCTGACACTTCGTTCTGGTCGCTTGGTGGACTGCGCGACAACCAGGCTGGACTCCGTCTCGTTTCGCTTCCCGGGTGATGTGCGCGGTTGGCGCTCGGGCTGGCTACGGCTTTGGCGTCCACTTTGGTCCTGGTTACGGCTCTGGATCTGGTGACGTAAGTCATCGGGGTTCCGCGGTAGCGGTGCCAATGGTGTGCGCTGTTCAGTGCGCGCTGGCTGGTATTGGCCTTTTAAGGCATCCAGCAATCCACCTTCCATCAGCTGTCGGGCCACCTGGTCAACCATAGCTTTGTTGATGTTTTCCAGGATCGTTTTTTCGAACCCCTGGTTGTATTCCATGGGCATGGGCAACTCGTGTCCGTAGGATCGAGAGCCTGATGATGGTCGCTGATGGTCGTAATTTCTCGGGGCGGCCGTTGGGCCACGCCCTGAGGACTGGTCAGATCCAGAGTTGCGGGATCGACGTTCCCGGTCCCGCTCGTCCTTCCGTTCTCGAGCCGATTGGCTGAGTGGAGGAATCGGAGTTCCGGTACTGCACCAGCCAGGTTGTCGGGCGCCACTACGTTGCATGTAGAGATCGTAGATCTCTATCTGCTCATGATCCCTCAGTAGGGGAATCAGGTGGCTTCCGTCGCGGCTGGTCATGTGTATATAAGCGTCGAAATTGCCTCTCACCACTTCCAGGTAGAAGCAGTAGGCTCGTTCGCTCTCGTCGCGGAAGCCCGGCCGCAGGTGGTATGCGCAGGGGAACAACTCCCGTGAGGAATTGTCCCGGCGGTGAGGATGTGTCATGCTATCGCCGCTGTTGCGTCTGCAGTCCGAGCATCGCGGTTCGTATTTCTGCTGCGGTGTAAGTCCCATTCTCTGTGGTAACAGAAATGAAACTTGCAGAATGAGGTTAAGTCCGCTTTCTATGACGGGTCCCTATGATAATTACGCCCTATGTTTTACGTCCCTATGATTTTACATGTGATTTGTTAACTAGGCTTTTCTTGCCCGGTGAATTATTTCGGGATCACCCCCTAGACCCTATGCGAATTCTACGCCTAGGTCACTGATGGTGAGTACGCCGCTTCTTCTTGGACTTGGTTGAGGCCAAGGAGTCGGCTTCAGTGGGACGAGGGCCGTAACGATCCGGTGGGACGTTATGTTGTCTGTACCGCTGCTGGGCCTCGGGCTCGTCAACAGTTTGCTCGAGCCATCCTTCGTTTAACATCTTCCTTACGACGTATCTGACGTCCTCGCAGATAGGGTACAACCCGCTAGGGCGGCCCTGGTTCGGCACATATGCTATCCCATCGATGAGTTGTGGATGGTGCGAGATGACGTTCAGATC